GAGGCTGTGGGCAGCTTCACAGCTCAGTGCTCAACCACTGGGCCACCAGGGGAGGCCCACTTCCTTCCTTTTTAAGGCTTAGTAGTAGTCCCTTGAATGTATCTGCCACATTTTGTTAATCCTGGGTCAAAGGGATATAATGGTTATGTCTACCTTTTGACTGTAGGGAATAATGTTGCTATGAGCACTGATAGCAATATCTGTTTGAATCCTTTCTTTTAATGCTTTTGGATATATTTTCAGAAGTAGAATTTCCATGTGTAGTTTATGAGGAGCAACCAAACTGTTTTCAAAGTAGTTGCACCATTTCATGTTTCTTACTAGAAACATCTGAGGATTATAACATCGTATATTCACTTGTTACTTACGTGTTTCTGATAATACTCATCTTTGTAGGAATGAAGTGGTAGCTCATTGTGGAATGAAGCAGAGTTTTAATGGGCTCAATGCAAAGCAGGTCCAGATTCTCCTTCAGAGAAATACTGATTTCTCTTATCTTTTTCCTGTTATCCTAGAGTGATGAGTAGCATGTCAGATATTTTACTTTCTTAGTCTGAGTTAATTTTTACCTTCTCAGTGTCAAAAATACAATAGGGAGAAAGGAAAAAAGAGTGTCATAAATAAAAACCTTTCTATTCAAAATGAGCCTACAATCCAACATCCAAGTCACATAAATACAATGCTAAGATAGACAGCTATCCAGCTATGGCCACATCAATATGAGATTGATGGCAAATGAGATGCTGGGGTCTGTCTACATGACCATTAACTAGTAGGGTGGTTTAACTGAACCACTAGCTGTTCTTGGGTTTTTAATTTTATCATTTACAAAGTGGAGTTAACAATATGACACAGCCAATAATCTTATTAGACGATTCAAGAGGTAGTAATAAAGGCATAGTGTTTCAACATGCCTTTCAAAGGCAAAGTATTACTCTAAGTTCATTCATCTCCAAAGAAAGCATTTGGGAAGCAGGGCATGGCTTCTCTTGTAAGCAAGAGTATCCATCTTTCCTCCCTTGTTAACTAAAACTCCGCATGTTTTCCTCATAACCCTCTGTTGTAAAATAAGGGTAGACTCTGGGGTGGACCCTAATGTACCCAAAACTTCTTCAGCTCTTCTGAAGGATTATTTCACTTATTTAGACTTTATTTTCATGGATAAAGATATGGTTGATAAGCTCAATAGTTCAGCCTTTATCCATTAAGTAGAAGAAATAGTGAGCCTATGAGCCTGAAATGCCAACTGTGCAATTTACATCCATCACTACATAATTAGCAATTAGCTGAGCACAACAAAGGGAGATCCTGCTATGAATACTTCTCCACACTACCAGACAGGGAGATCATGTTTATTTCTTCCTTGCAAAGTGCAAATTAGGAACCATCCAAGTATTTAGCATGAATAAAGTACAACATTTAAATGAACTGTTTAGAAATGATAGAGAGATGTTATGAATATAGTCAGGGCTTCTTTGGGGAACTCATTTTCTTTGAGATCCAGCTTCCTAAGCCCAGGTTGATTTCCCAAAGAAGGATTGAAGATTTTTTTTTTTATATGAAGATGAACATTATTCTGGATAATGACTTCAGACCCTAGGCTATAGTTAGCAGCTGATGAGGAGACTTTCAAGCTAAAAGATAATATCTAGGAGGGGAATGGATCAGGATCAGCCTTTTTTCACTCTGTGTCTTCATTGCTGAAAGCCAAGTAGAGTGCCCTTTGCAGGTGTGAATGGTAGATGGGTATGACCAAATGCATCCTTCAACTTTGCGATTAGAGTAATAATCACTCTGCCCCCTAATTTTCCTGCCACTGTAGACTCTATAAATGGCTTTCTGTGAGGCCACAAATTGCTATGGAACACTTTGTGCATGAGGGAAATTCTCTCATTGTGTAAATGGATCAGTTCCCACCCTAAAATTACTGGCCTTTCCCTGACAAAATGATGTGGGAGCCTTGTTATTGTCTGCTGAGTTGTGTAAAATCTGACTAATTTTACAGGAAAAAGCTTTTTCTGTTTTATTATCCCTTAAAATGGGGACTGCCAATTTTTGGTCAAACCATTGGGCTGAAGAAGTGTTCATTTCCCTCTTTTTCTTTTAGAAATGGTTATCACCAGAAATGTCATGGTCCTAGGAGAATAGTTTCCCTCCAAGGAATCAACTGAGAGTATATTTTTCTATTTTTCATTTCCCCCATGATTCTAGATATGAAGGCTCTAAAACACCCCACCTCCCCAACCCCCCACCCCACCAAAGATTTACTCTTAGTAGTTTGCCTAAAATCTCACACTCTCTAGGCAGTCTTTCTTGGAATATACAGGGGAAGTAAACACAACCTTCTTTGCTCCCACATTGCCTTGCTCATTTGTTTAAAGTAGCTCAGCTCTTTTCCTTCTGATTATTTGTCCTCCTCCAACACTCCCCCACCTTTGAAACTGTGTACACTGGAGACCAGAAACTACAACCTATTCAACTTTGCATTCTCTATCAGATCACTCTCTGATACATAGTTCATTCTTAATAAATTTGCAGTTGAAAGTATCTTCTGAATCATAATTTACCTATTATTCTATAACAGATGGTTTAAGCATAGTTTTAAGACAATGGATTTTTAAAATGGGTAGATTTGCTTCATAAGCCCATGTTTGTCTCCTCTGGGCTGGGGGATAGCATGCCAAGAGAACAAAGACAGCTATGTCCCAAGGAGCTATGTCCCATGGGAGACAGGTTTGAAGTCATATCATTATAAGACCAACACAGAGAGGTTAACTGAGGGCTCTGGGAGCACGTCAGGACTGACTACTACAGCCAGGGACAATGGGAGAAGACTCTGCAGCAGAGATGACTTTTAAAAGTGGTTTTGTCATCTTCTCCTATATCTGAAATGATCTTCCACAGGGCTCTGGACTGGACCAGGTACAGGATAAGTGTGTGGCAGCATTGCATACTTAAAACTCCTGACTAGGTTATTCTTTAAAATCAAGGCCAGCTTTAAATATGTTTCTGAATTGTACATTTTAACTAGAGTCATCCTGGTATAAGTGGCCTGGAGGGACTACATTAAGCTGACTTGCATTGTCGACTAAGAGCCAATGGTTAACTATACATCAACTTTAAGAGACACTGAACTATGAAAGTCCTGATTCGACTCCTATTTTTTGTCTCTCTTGCCCTTTTTGGTTCCCTCTTGTCAATCCTGATAGTTTTTCAGCTTTCTCATCTACCCCCTTTGCTGTACTAGCCTCTGCAGATCACCTCACCTGGAACTGACCTTCTTGCTCTCTAGATCAGTTTTTCCAACCTGGATGTACTGTAGAATCACAAAGGATTTTGTTTTTATTTGCTATTATCTCAATTCCGGGGCAGAGTCTTAGTATTTTTAAAAGTTCTCAGGTTATTCTATAGTACAGTCAACTTGAGAATCACTGTTCTAGATAGCAATCTTTTCTTTAAAAAGCTGTAGACCACTGTTCAAGTAAACATTTATGCAGAAACCCAAAGAACAGTTTTGAAGGAGGAAGTTAGGAAATTGGTATAGGCGGTTAGTTAGGAACAAGGTGCCTCAAGCCCCTAAGTTCTAACTTAGCAGCCCAATTGAGAAATACTCAATTGGAATGAGGTGACCTAAGTCCAATTATCAGTCTGATTGGAAAGCACCCCTGGACTAGGAGGGTGCCCCCCATAACCCAATAAACAGTGGAATGTTCAGAACGCTAACACAATAACACAATGCTAAAGCAATAGACCAAAGTTAGTTTCAGAAAGGTAGGTCAGGTAATGTGGGCAAACTCAGTGGGCCTTGGTAGCCTAGGAGATTCCTGAAAACTCAGAAGCTCTGGAAAATCCCACAAACTCAGTAAGCTAGGAGACCCCCTGGTTCCAGCCAATTAGCAAGAGACGCCTAACAACCAAACACCCCCTCCTTGCACATTATACCAATATCAGTACCTCTCTCTCACCACCTCAGTGGCTACCCATTCAGGACCTCTCTCTGGTCAGAGAGATTTCCTATCCTTCTTCTTCTTACCTATCACTAAATCTCTTACTTTTTGTGCCTCCCCTGGTGGCGCATCGGTTGAACGCTGGGTTGCGAAGCTGCCTGCAGCATCTGCAGCGCCCGTTCGATCCCCGGCCACCGGCAAGGGTCCCACATGGCGTGACAGACCTCTCCTGCCATGCCCGCTGCTCCCCTCAGCAGTGTATTTCGTCACTCTGGCTGTTCTGTTCCCCGCTCTGGCTCTGGTGAATTCTCTCACCCTCCCGCGCTTCTGACTGTACCCAGTGCTTGTATAAATAAATAAATAAATCTTTTTTAAAATAAATAAATAAATAAATAAATCTCTTACTTTTCTATGTCATTGGTGTTGACATTGAATTCTTTCCTCACCAAAGACAAGAACTGAGAAAGAGCCCACCTGCTGTCCTCAGATTCCAGGCCTGCTCCAAAAACTCCCACTCTGCTTGGTTAATGAAATGTGTGAGTGTAGAAAATTCCACAGGGAACTGTCTTAAAAACTGGTACTTTCTCACCGACAACTCCCTACTTCATCAAAATGTACCTGCCTCGAAAGTCACTCCATTAAACCATCAGTGAGGCTTTGCAAGCTATGTCATCTCTGTTACAGCTACTCGGCATTGTTGTTGAGTGTGAAAGCTGTCACAGACCTGAGGAAAATTAAAAGCATGACTGTGTTTCAACAAAACTTTAATAAAAGCAGAATGTGGACTCTATTTGATCTGCCAAGCAAAATTTGCTGGCTCCTACTTTAAATTATTGCCCCTTTCTAAAGGATTGATTGCTAATTAACAATTCTAAATATATTTATATTTACTTCCATTCGAGTTATATCTCCCTTGTTAAGTTGCATGTATAGCTCTAACAATCTTGTCCTGCTACAGGTAATCATGATTGCTGGGGTTAAAAAAAAAAAATGCTTTCCAATCTTATATTCCCTTGTAAGTCTTATGCTCAGACTTCACCTATCTGACCAATATCGTCTAGTTTAGTTCAGAACAAAAGCTGTACAGTAATGTCTAGAGAAGCTGTAAGAGCTCCCTATGGTAGAGGCCACATGAGCTGACATAAGGGCAAGTCAGAGTTTGAGGATTTATTTTTGTCTTTCAACAGTTTGGCAGACACATTTTCGCTACCTGTTTCTGGACTGGATTCTCTTCAGCACATTCAGTATTGATTTGTCCTTTGCTGAAAGAGCAGACTCTGGAGAGCAACCCCAGACTAGGAGGGTGCCCCCACCACCTGGTTGTGCTGCTCCTGAGATGTTGGGGTTCACTTAATGAAGAACTTTTTTTCACAACATATTCTTTCTGCTGCTTAAACTTTCAAATACACTTAACACTCGATTTCTTCCTCTCTAAAGAAATTCCTTGATTTTTTTTTCCTGTATGAGCCCCCTGTAAATCAGAAATGAAAATAAATATTAGAATTAGTTAGAAAGATGAATGCTGAAGAATTTAGGGAAAAAATGAACTAATATTTGCAATTTACTTTAAAACATAACCAAAAACTAATATGGATTGAGAGAGATAGAAGGATGAGTGGATATGTGATAAAACAGAGTAAAATGTTAATGGTAGAATCTACGTGCTAAGTGTATGAATGTTGGTGTAAAATTCTTTCAACATGATTCAGTTTTGAAATGTTCATAATAAAGTGCCGGAAAAAATGTTGGAATGTTTAGGGGAAAATGTAACTTCTTCACATGGTTTGTATCAGTGCTTGAATCAAGATTCAAGAAGTTGGACTAGCATATAAGAGCCACTCTGCTTAGAGCAGTAATTATGAGTAGCACTAGTGCCAAGAAGTCAGATTAGATTGAAATATTTTATTCCATCATAATAGCTATGAAATCCCATTAAACACCAAGTAGTAAATGAAGTGTTCTTTGGTCTGAATAACTTGTTCCTTATTCTCCCCTTTGTTCTCAGGTGGCCAGAATTGGATTCACCATATTAATCCTTGGTCACACTCTCAAGTGTTGCTCAGGTCTATTTACTTATTATTTAATCATTTGCATTAGGCAACGGCAAAACCAGCACCCAAACCCACCCACACCCGCCAGCACTACCCATATCCAACTATGCGATTTTCCAATCCATCCCAAATCATCCTGAATTCTGAAGTTATCATTCTCATGCTGATAGACTGGTAGGTAGATAGATAGATATCCCTATGTGTGTGCTTTGTGTGTATATACATATATATGTATATATTTTTAATTGTTTTTAATTTTATAAAAAGGGTATATTCATTTTGACTTGTCTAGTTTCTTCCTACTAAATATTATAGTGCAAAAATTTAGCCAAGGCTAGTTACAGTACTTCATTTGTTTGATTACTGTAGAATATTGTATCTTGTGAATCTACCATTTATTTGTTCTCTTCAGTTACAGACATAATATAGGCATAATACAGGTTTTAGTATTATGAACATCACTGTAGCTCCCTAGCTTATATATCCAAGAATTTATCTTGGCTATGTGCCTTGTACTGGAATTGCCAGTTTAGGCTACATTAAGGTCCAACTTTCAGAGATAAAGCCAAACTATTTTCCAAAGTGGTTGTGTCAATTTGTACTCCACCCAGTAATATGGACTTTATCCTGAGACAAAATTCAATTCAGTGTAATGAAAGAAAAATCAATGAAATAATTTAATATTACACATACATAAATAAGGTGGATAATGGAATGGAAGCTTCAAGATACGCCTCTTAGCGAGAAAGTGGTAAATGGATTTGTCTGCCCTCTTGATTTATATTCATTGGAGTTACATCTAGATAGATGTTTATGTTTCTTTCCTTCCACTTCTGTTTTCTTAGTTTTGAAATTGTACTATGTGACTCTCTTGGGTTCCTCTCTATCTTAGAGGCTGTGGAAATGTTTTTAACCTTTATTCCTGGGTAAAACAGAAAGTCCCTCTCTACAATAATAATTCTTCCATTAAAAAAAAAAAAAAACAACATTATCCCCCTGTGCACCTCCACCAAACAGTCATTTGTTCTTCTCTCTCTGTCCAGTGAGTGAATGGCCTTGTGGCTAGAGGTCAGAGGCGCCAAATTAATTTGCTTTGTTATTCACATCCAGAGATCTTACAATGGACTCAGTTTTTAAAACTTCCTTAAGAGAAGAAATCGATATAATCATTTCATAGCTGGCAGGATGTTAGCCCCTGATTCATGTTCATCAGTCTAATACCTGGATAGCAGACCCTGAAAATGGATGGTCCCATGCAGTGCAACCGATAGGCCCATCCTACCCTCAGCCCCACTCCTAGCAAGTGCTTTCGCAGATTTGCTCTGCACTCAGGTCACCCAGATGAGAGGAAAAATCTGCCTCTTTGTTGCAGGTGTGAGGGTCACCTCAGGTTTCCTAACAGCCGGGCATTCAGTATGCTGCTCCTGCCTGCCAGTAAGCATCAACACCAAGGCGGCCTTATCAGATAGAGAGTTTCATTATGTGTTATCCACTGGGAATGCTACTAAAAGCAATAAATTCATTTCACTGTGCTAGTCTCTGGACTATTAAAGCATTTTAGTTCTATTTCTCCTTTAACCTCCCATGAGCCAAATATCACTCTGACAAAGTGCTATTCATTACAAAGTTAAGATGACTTTGACTCTGTTTCTCTCCCACATAATACAACGAAGATGCTTTGTCCTGGACTCATCTACAGCCTGACGGTATTATGGATAAAAACATGCCAAGGCAGGCAGTATTTTCTCCAAAATGGATTGAAATTACCTCTAGCTAGCTATGCCTTGCCTAGATAAAGAGTAGCTGAAAAAAATTGGTTTTCTGCTCATATTTAATATCCTGACCAATATATTGCTTAAGGGAGGATGATCGAGGAAAAATAGAATAAAGTAGAAAAATGAAACATCACTGGAATATAAAACAGATCAAATCCCATTCACTTCTCTGTTATCCATACATTTTTCGTCCCCCTGCCCTGTTGAGGGTTAGCAAAGAGTGGAGGAGCTTGGTGGAGTTGTGGAACATCTGCAAGGGAGGGCACAAGTTACATCTTTAAAAGATCATGCTGGCTGGTAGATTGAAGCAGAAATTATAGCTTTATTTGATTTAGTATCTAAGTCAGCTTCAGGTCTGAACCTTGCCTCTGAGACATACCAGTGCTGGACAAAATTATTAACCTCTGGGGACCTCTTTTAATCTATAAGATGGAAGAAAGAGTACCTCTTTAGTAGGTTTGTTGTGAGAACTAAATAAAATAACATATACAAATCTTCCAGCACAGCACTTTACAGACAGCAAGAAAAAAAATATGAATATTTATTTCCTGGTCTTTCTCTTCCCCTCTGTATTGAAAGCTATAGAGGGATGCAGGAGCGGAGAAGAACAAGAATACAGAGCTAAATTGTGAGTGGCAGAGAAAAAGCTTTGTCCTACCAATTTGACTTTAGGGAATATGGCCTCTCTTCTGCCCACATTGAAGGCATTAAACCAAAGAACCACAGAAAACCTGTTTGATATAGGCATGAGGTTGCTGATGTCCCAGATAAAAACTGAGAGGTTGGAGGTGGTCGGAGATGGAGGATACACTGCTCTAAAGTGTAACTGTCCTGGGTCTTAAAGCTGTGTTTTTGGTACCAACTTTCCCTCTCATTTCATCTTAATCCTTCCCTTGATTTCCTTTCCCCTTCATACACCACTCTTCTTGATTTCCTTACTTAGTTTCTACATGCTGTGTGCTATGTACATTTAAAGTCACCTTGTGCCCTAATCTAATTACTTGGTTGATTAATTAAAACTCATCTTTCCTGTTTTTCTCCCCACGGACCTGCATAAGACTTTCCCTTTGTGAGCCTGATGGGAACACTGGAGGTTTGTCAACTCTTACAGCTAATGTCCTGCTTCTAGAACAAAGGGAGCCTCTGTTGGTTCCACAGCTGTGGCCAGTTCCATCAGAATAAGAAGAGATTTGAACTGAACTTTCCAGAACACTAGAAAAAGTCCCCTGTGGCAAGAATAGAATTCATCCTCTCACTTGTATGCCCAATTAGAGACATAGCTTTATAAATAATTGATTATTTTTCTAAAAATATTCCCATCCATTCTCTTTCAAAGAATAACTTAGAGGGCCTCCCCGGTGGCGCAGCGGTTGAGCGCTGGGTTGCGAAGCTGCCCGCGGCCTCTGCGGCGCCGGTTCGATCCCCGGCTGCTCCCCGGCCACCGGAGGAGGGTCCCACATGGCGCGCAGACCTCTCCTGCCGCCCGCTGCTCCCCTCAGCAGTGTACTTCAGTCCTTCTGCCTGCTCTGCTCCCCACTCTGGCTCTGGTGAATTCTCTCACCCTCCCGCGCTTCTGACTGTACCCAGTGCATGTAAAAACCAAACAAAAAAACAAATAAAATAAATAAATAAAAAACATGCCTCTATAAAAAAAAAAAAATTAAAAAAAAAAAAAAAGAATAACTTAGAAATACCTGATATTGTCTAGGCTGGGGGGTTCAGTGGCGAGAGTGTGGGATCCATCAAGTTACTAAAAACTATCTTTGAATGCCTCTTACACTCTGGAATTACTTTTGAAGATGCCATTAAGATACTATGATTGGGGGGGAATGGTGGGCGAATAAGGACAAATGAAAGTTTTTCCACTTGTACATTTGTGCCTCAATATGTTCAAATAGCTCATCAATTATTAACCAACTGGGACAATGTCCAAATACTCATCAGAACATACAACACCAGAAGGCAGTCACTGAAACAGGTTCTATTTATCAAATGCTGTTTACAATCTCTTGGCAGCTTTGTCTTTTTAGAAATTGTTTAGAAGTCTCCCTGATGTATACATGTCATGTGGGGAGGTCTCTGTTTGGATTTCTCACATAAAAGACTGGCAGAAACCCACAGGCAAGTATGTTAACTTCAGATTCATGAGAGATCAAAGAAAGCTGTTCATAGACAAATTCACCTGTGTTGAGTTCCTTCAATTTGTTGCAACAGTTCAGGACTGGGATTCCATGGAAAGGATAATGCTGTTGAAAGATATGATGAAATTCAGAGCTTAAAATATGGTATCTGTGAACAGGACATGAATTATGAGAGAAGAAAATTCATAGTATTTAAGATGTCTGTCCATACTTGGCAGCATTAAAAAAAAATTTTATCCTAATATTTTTTGTTCTGTTATTCCCAAAAGTAGGAGTTGAGAAAGATAGGAGAATTGATATACATCTGATTTTTTTCCATATGCAAATATAAAGACCTCGCTTTCAAAACATATACAATTGAGTAGCTCTTACATTAAAAATTGAACTTACTAGGTTTGATCATTGATTTCTTTTTGAGATGAGCATTTTGTTGAAATCTCACTTTCCAAAGAATAAAGAACAAGAGAAGAAAGAAGAAACGAGATTAGGAAAAACAAATTCACCAAGATCTTCTAGTCATGGTCCTGATTTGCATATCTCAGAAATGCCCACAAATCTTCATGTGTTAAAGATACAGAGCAAAGCAGCCTGCACACCTGCCCAGGGTACAGCAATTAAATGCCTGAGTGTACAGTGCCTATTTGCAGCAAAGTAATGGAGACACCAGCTCTCTACTCCTGTCCCAAGCTAGAGAGCATGGGAAGCCATCTGGGGTAACGTCTGTGCAGATACAGAAAGCCAAGTGGGGGAGTCTTCGTGGAGGTGTCCACCAGTACCTTTACCTCCCTCATCACCAGCCACCCTCATAACCAGGAGGAGGCCCATGTAGAACTCTTGGGACCAGATGCCCAAGGTCGCAGTGCCACAGGTCGCAGTGCCACTCAGGCAAATGGGTGGCTTTTCTTTCTTAACCCTCATGTGGGAAAGACAAAAGGAAGCCGGTGGGGGGTGGGGCAGGGTGAAAGTGCTTCCCTAAATCCACCTGAAGCAAGGTGGTGCTGGGAATTTATTAAGACCCATGATTTATGACTCCTGGTTAAACATCCCAAAGAGCTGTTCCTGTCCCCAGGCGAGTACCTCAGAATGAATAATCCCACAATGTAGAGTCAATAAAATCCAAACAATTTTTTATTTTTACACGTAGACAAATATGTGGAAAAGATCTCTGGAGTGGGGGAAGATTTAAAAGAGCATGAACACATTTTAAATTATTTAATAGAAAAATACCAAACAAATCTAATGATAATTATCTTCACCTTCATCCTTCATTTTTCTAAGAAATATTCTGTTTAACCTGGAGGGTACTTGAAAGAGGCACAGGGTCCTGGCTCTGTCTAGAACAGTTGAGGAACTGGGCCTCTACCTTCCCTTGGAACAATCCAAAGGGAATTGGGGGGCCTCCCCTGGTGGCTCAGCGGTTGAGCACTGGGCTGCAAAGCTGCCCGCAGCCTCTGCAGCGCCTGTTCTATCCCCGGCTGCCGGCGAGGGTCCCACATGGCATGCAGACCTCTCCTGCCACGCCCGCTGCTCCCCTCAGCAGTGTACTTCGGTCCTTCTGCCTGTTCTGCTCCCTGCTCTGGCTCTGGTGAATTCTCTCACCCTCCTGTGCTTCTGACTGTACCCAGTGCTTGTATAAAATAAATAAAAAAAAAATTAATCTTAAAAAAAAAACAAAAACAAAAACAAAGGGAATTTGGAATTATCTTTGCTATGTCACCTGAAGATTCATATTCCACAAATAATAACTCTGTTATTCACCTTCTATAATAATGCTCAGATGCACTCACCGTCTGCTGTCCCTAATTTAGAATGACATCATGGAGACAAACGTAATACCACCACCCTCCTCTCCTCCTCTTCCTCATTATATGAAAGTGGTGCTGTTGCCCCCTGAACAGCAGACCTAAGAAAGACTTACATATTTTTTATACTTTCCCGAGGAGCAAATTTCACAGGAAACAGAGCTACCTCAACTGAAAGCAATTTGTATACATGAAGTATTCAGAAGTGTTCAGTGGGCAGAACCATCATTAGCGTTCAATGGCACACTTTGTTCCTCGCAAGCACTCCTTGGCCCTACAAAGGGTAATCATGGCTGTTCTTCTTCACTCACTCTAAATTAATTTGTCCTCTAGGACCACAGGACTGCCAGGTTAGCAGCCCTAGAATCTAACCTCCTAATTGTACTACACCATAGCCTTGCCAGCATCCCTTAGCAATCCCTCTTTGTAAAACATTATGCTTCTCTTCGAATTGGAGGTTAGGAGATAGGCAGTGAGGGGCACAGCTGATGGAGACCTAGAGGTTGATTTCTAAATTACACAGGTAAGGCGACACAGCCACCAACTTTTGCCAGAGGTTAACAGATATTCGCAAAGCACTATTAACTGACATTTTTTTCTGAGTGATATGAATTTAAGGAAATATATAATCACACTCTTGAGTATGCTAATCTTGAGCCTAACCCCTTGTCTCTTTTTTCCTGCATCTAGCACAGACATATATTTAATTATGATGATAACAAGGCACAACTGAAGCAAACAAAGGCCAAGCCTTATGGAGATTTGTGATCAAGTTGATGCCATAGATTTGAAGCAGCAGCTCTAAGCATTAGGAATCCACTGACATTTTTGCACACCTACCGTGGCACATGCCAGACTTTGTGCTAGTGCTTAACATGTATTATCTTATTAAATATTCAACATCCTGTAGGAATTTATTTTTGTCTCCCATATTACAGAGAAGAATTTGAGGTGCATAGCTGTTAATTGCCCCAGACCACACAGTTAGTAGGTGGCGGAGCCGGATTCCAAACTAAGAGCCCAGGGCATGTCCTTTTCACAACTTGACGCAATATTCAACCAAAAAATAATCATGCCTGCTCCTCCTTGCTAACAGCATGCTCTTCTGGGAGCGGAAGAATCAACTGATAAAAAAGGTTCAGAGTCCAAGTGTAAGGCCTGAATCAACGGGGGCCGGGATCCACACATGTGATTAAACTTCTAAAGCTTTGACCCAACAGATCAATTCCAAGAAATTGCAGAGTTAAGTACTTCTTTATAGGGCCTGGGGAAAAGCAAACCCAGAAAAAAATATTCATGGTTATAATCAAAGCCCATTGCAGAGTCCAGGAACAATTACAGGCATTGCAGACATGTTGAGCAGAATGAACAGCCAGTCATTGGGTCAGACTGTGCTCATAGGATCAAGACAAGAGCTGAGCAAAGCTGAGAGGAAGCTGAATGAGTCCAGAGTCAGAACAGAGGACCCACGCTGCCAGAGCCAGGGGACAGCTGCTTGGGTAAGCGCCCAGGGAGCAGTCACATTTTGAAGTGATATTTTCAAACCCTGGCATTACCTGACCTTATTTTTACATCTGTTTCACCCCAGTAGGGTGAGAAGCTGTGTGGGTCCTCCCAGGGATCAGGCCAGTGTTTGGTGATTCTAGACAGAGCTGTAGAGGGAAGTCAGAAAATTAGTTTCAGCCTTTGGGTCCCCAGGGTCAAGCACTGTGCTGAGATCAGAGGAGGATCAATAAATATTTGTGGAAGGCTGGAAGGAAAAGGAAGGCCTGGATAGGCCAGATTCAATTACTATTAACAAGCCATTACCATAACAAGACTGCAATCCAGGGCAGTGTGTCAGGAAGGGACAGAAAAAAACAGCCCAGCTGCCGAATGTGGCATGGCAACCATCAGGAAAGGGATTATGACTGAGGACCTAGTCACTAGGAGATAAGGGCTGAGGATCTCTTTAATCCCGAAAAAGGGCTGGAGTGCAAAATAAAAAATGTGGTCATTTGTAACTGTAGTGAGAAGAAGAAATACATTCTGTCTCTGAGGAACTGGATAATGAATTAGGACCTTACTCACAAGCCACAGGAAGGAGGAGGGGCCAAGATATCAGGACCGGGAAGCGGGGAAGATAGCAGGACTGAGAACTTAAAGCCCTGATGGGGAGATTATCTGGCATGGGCCATTGTTCATCTTGGGATAAAGTAGAAGCTACAGGAAGTGCTCCATACTCTTGGTAGAGAATATTCAAGGTCCAGCTGACCTGGAAACCTAACGGATGAGGCATATCTTTCTCTTTGCTGATTACTAATTTATTCATTCTGTTCCCAGGCTAGCTGAGAATTTAAGGCATATTCTCCTGGCTCTTGTAAAAGATCCATCTCTCGTGTTCAGTTTTTGAAAGAAAAGAAGGAAAAGGGACATTGAGGACCCAGGAGAAATAAGACAGTAGGGCCGTTTGCACAGAGAGACAGTTCTTTTAGGAGAGAGTGAGAAATCTACAAAACCCTACTGTAGGGTAAAGTAAAAAGTGTCAGGCTTTTCTGCCCTCCCGCCATCAGGATAGATGATGGATCCTTGCGGTCCTGAATGCATGCCTGATGGCGGGCACCTGGAGTAGGGTGTGGGCATAGGTAGATGGGATTCACCTGGGCTAAGGCTGGGCTTATAAGGGCAGCATCACGGGGATGCCAGGAAAACCACGAGAAGAAGCAGAGAGAGAGCAGAACCACGAGAGAAGCAGAGCAGAGAACCACGAGCAGAGCACCACTAGCAGAGCGAAAGAGAAGCAGAGAACACCAGAGAACACCAGAGAACCCAGAAAGAGTGTAGACTTGCTGGGGGCTGGGAGGCCTGCCAGCCTCCCGGCCCCCCAGCACCCCTGCCTGGTAAATCCAATTAAAAGCCTGCAAAAGCCACCGAGGGCTCCAGTACTCTCTCCTCCTTACCCCGTCTGCTCAGGTCATAGAAATCCTGCTCTGTGTCCTCCTGCCCTTATACCTACCAAGGAGCCCCCGCAGAGTACTTGCTCAAAACATGTGGCTATTTACCCCAGGGAGTCATTTGTATGAATGAATGTCAAGATATGTCTCCAATTTCAATTACAGGGAAGAAAGAATATTTTAGAGGCTAGAGATACAGAGATGGTTTGCTTCTAAGTTTCCCCTTAGACTGCTCCTGAGAGCTGTGCAGTAGCAATATATAAAGTTCAGTGCTTGGGGGCTGGAAGTCCAAAAATTGCAAGGAAAGAATGGATGACAAGATGTATACTATAACTCACCAGTAATTTCTAGGTCAGTTGCAAATGATTACCGTTAATAATTGCAAGCTTTTATTGGGCTCGTTCTATTTTTAGAATGCTTTACCATCATTCATGTGTTATTTCTCACAACATAGCCATGAGGTAGATCATCATTATTATCACATTACAGATGCACTAAGGATGTCAAGTTGGATTTAATTGACCCAGGAACATAGCTATTCTTAGTAGTTCATTTACCCCTCTGCTCTTTGGTCTTAAAAATCTATTGATGCTGCCTAGAGGGAGATACTGCTAAAGTGCAATTTAGAAAGAAACATTGCAGACAACCACAGAGAATTACAGGAGCAGAGTAGGTACTAAATTTCTAAAAGGTAAGAAGTGCCAGAGAGAAGCTTCCATGTATTCTAAAAGTGGCTTGAATTAGCTTCTGACTATTTTCGTTAAAATTCTTTTCTCCTAAGGTTACTGACACCTTGAAAGTATGGATTTAGCTTAGCATGCATAGACTGTGAGTAGTTTCTATGTCCTGTCTTTGCAATGTTCAGCCTGGTTTCCCATCCATGATACATCCCAAGGCCAAATTATTTTATTCATATGGAAGCTGCATGGGATTTGATGTTCACTCCAAGACTGAAACAAATATGACCACCTGCTGGCAACAGAGCTGCCAGAAAAGTGGAGAAGCTGTCCAGCAGCACTTCATGACTGCAGCAGCCCATCTGCATAGTGCAGGAGAATGCTTTAGCTGTCTGTCTGTGGGATGTTTTTCCTTTGCTTTGTCATTTGACTTTCCACTTGTCCACCTGAGGACTCTTCCCAACAAGCACTGAGATTACCCTTGTTCGTGTTTGAGTCCCTCAAAAAAGATAGGCTGGAGTCTTAACCTTCAGTACCTCAGAATATGATTTTATTTAATAGAAATGTAATCAAAGTAGAAATAAGGTCTTTGCAGAGGTAATCAAGTGAAAATGAGGTCACTAGGTTAGACCATAATTCATTAAAACTGACATCCTTTCATAAAGAGGAAATTTGAATACATAGATGTGCAGAGGAAAGATGGTTATGTGAATACAGGAACTGGAGTTATGTATCTGTGTGCCAAGGAACATCAAAGATGGCTAGCAAACAACCAGATGCTGGGAAGATGCAAGGAATGATCCTTCTTCTGTGAGTTTCAAAGAGAACATGATCCCACAAGTGAAAGCAGACTTCAAGCCTCCTGCACTGTGACATAGTAAATTTTGTTTTTCTAAGCCACATAACTAAGAAAATAGTTATTAAAATATAATTACTAAAATAAATGAAAAAGAATTTTTAAGTATTTATACCATTACTCTCCCTAATAGCCAAAAAGTGAAAACAACTCAATATCCTTCCAAATAAGATGGATGAATTGAAAACAGTACAGCAATGAGATTAAACCAACTATTGTTATACCCTCTCACTAACACAGCTCTCCCTCACAAACATGACTTTGAGCAAAAGACACCAGAAACAGAGCAGCATATGACATATTGTTTCCTTTACATCTAGCTGAAAAACAGGAAAAACTAAACACAAGTGATAAAACCGGGGGTAAAGAGTGAGAAGAGAGGGTTTGAAGAGACTTATGGGGCTACTGGTAACAGTCTATTTCTGTATCTGGATGATAGCTATGTAAGTATGCTGATTTTGAAAATTAATCAAGCTATATACTTAAGTTTGTGTGCTTTTTTGTTTGTATATTTCAATGGAAAAAAAGCCTATTTGCTGATAGTGGATCTTACAGAACCACAGAACTTTAAAATCTGATGCATTTTTAGAGTTGGGAATCAAAGTGCAACAGGGTGGTCCTCAAGGAAAGGGGAGTTGCGAGGTTCCCTGCCCTACCCAAGGGGTGGTGGAGTTAAGCAGGGAGGAGGAGAAGCTGGAGAGGAGGCTGGAGGAAGGCAGGAGGGAGGATGGAGATCTGGAGGAGGCACAGGGAGCAGAGAGACACATGAAGAAGCTGCACTTGCTTCTCAGGCTTGGACTGGTACTAGGGATTTGGGGGACATGGAGAGAAACACTTGAAACAGATGTGGGTAAGAGACCCATGGGGAAATTAACAATGTGAGCTTTTATGTTGATGCTGATTTTGATTTTGCTCCTTCTGTCCCAGACTTGCCTGGCCCCTTCTAACTCTTTCCTCTGGGTCCCCACTAGAAGGTGCTTTAGACTTGAGGCAGGTTTTTGGACCTCAGTGGCCTGGATTTGGGCCAACCCCATTTGGCTAAGCATTTACTCATGAGAGGATGGGTAGCTTTGGGTACTTAGTCTGGAAACTATTTTATCTATTCCTTCTGTTCTCTTGTCTTTGTTGCACACTAATTATTTTAAAGTTCCTTTCCATTAAAGGCTTTATGCACTAAGTATGATTTGTCTTGATGTGGTGGATGGCAGATCCTATTTAGAGCAGGCAGGTTTGGGAGTTTTGGGGTTCCCCCCACCCTGTCCTGTAACAAAAGGAGAATGACTGACCCACCTTAGATAGGGGGCTTGTGTGGAAATGTGTGGAAGGGTAAGTTCAAGCCACACTCTGCAACTGTCCATAGCAATGCCAAGGACTTGAGGATTTATTTAGATGACCACAGAGAGTTAGTGGGGATTGAGTGAGGCAATGTGATCAGATTCAAACTTAGGTAAAACTTTTTATAACAATACATGAACATGAGGAGAAAAGAAATGGGAAGACTATGCAAGACACGTCAAAGAGAAAAAAAAATGAAACACTTAACACTTGACAAAGAATTAAAATGTGTTTTCCCCATACACATCCATGTCTGCCCTTTACCTGACCTATGGAGTAAGCCAGTATGGATTATTTTTTTTTAAGTTCCAACTTTTTAAAAAATTATTTTGTTTTGTATATTTTTACATCATTTTTCTTTTTTATGCAATATATGCATTTTCATCTCAGTTACAGTCTCCATGAAATTCCCACCACCCATTCACCCGTGAACTATCACCATGGTCCCTTGTGCTCTTCCCTTCCCCATCTTGATCCTACTCCCTTCTCACCTCTGCACAATGTCTCTGGTTTATAGTTGCCTCCTGATTTTGATTTTCACTTTATTATAGCTACTTTTTTTTTCCTGATCCCTTATTTGCATCCTCTACATTCCTTCTATAAGTGAGACCATCTAATATTTTTCTTTTTCTTTCTGGCTTATTTCACTGAGCATGATCCCTTTCAGTATGGATTCTAAAATGCTAGTTATACCCAAAAGCTTCCCACCCTCTTCAGAGGAGCATCTTCACTGTAGGTGGCTGGCAAGATGGGGGAAGCCCTGGAGAAGCCACCACCAAACCATTTTCATCCTGGCAATACCTGGATTCTAGTCCCTGTCATGCTTCATGTCTCAGGGCACATTCAAGCCTGCAATTTCCTGTAAAGTTCAAAGGAAAAGTTGTGTTATATGTTGGAAAAATTATAGGACAGAAACTGCAAGCAGCACAGATCTGAGATCTATGCAAATGGATCAACAGTTTTTGACACTAATTTCTTTATAGTCTGATGCTAAGATAGATTCAAAATACTAAACAGCAACAAGGGAAAACAGCACAGAGAATGTTGTAACTTGTGTGTGGTCCTGTCCATATGAAACAAGAGCACATGTCTAGCTCTGTGGACACAAGAAATCCACTCCTTGTTTATGAACAAGGTATACATGTATAAGGGTCCAGTAAAGGGAAAAGAAAATCTTTTTCCCTCCTTTTTCCCTTTGTGACTCTCCTAGTGAATCTTCAAGGGAGGGTATATGAGATGAAGGTCTACATAGAAAACAACACAGAGGTCTGAATTGCTCTCCCTGGAAATGCCTTTCATTAGTATCTGGGAATTTAGATTTCAAGAATGTTCCCACCATTAATTGATCAAAGTGGCTCACTGTGTTTGGAAACTACAAACAGTACAGTTTATGCTTATATTATATGCTATGGAGAAATAGAAACAAAAGGTACATATATATATATACACACACCTTATCACCTTATATATAGAATCTTCTCTCTCTCTCTCTCTGTGTATAGTACATATACATAGATATATGAAGAGAAAGAAAATGAGCGAGATTCATTTTAAGAAACTAGTTGACACAAATGTAGACTCACAAGTTCAAGATCTGAGGGTGTATCAGTAGGCTAGAGACCCAGGAGAAGCCAATGTTACAGTTCAAGTCCAAATGCCAACTGTTGGCACAATTCCTTGCTTGGGAAAATTCAATCTTTTGTTCTGGCCTTCAAATAATTGAATAAGGCTAATCCATCTTATGCAGAATAATCAGCCCCATCAAAACCCACCAACTCAATGTAAATCTCATCCAAAACATACTCATATACACATGCAGAATGTTTGATGAATCTGGGCTCTGTGGCCCATTCAATTTGACATATAAAATTAACCATTACAGTGCTGTACACCTGCTTTTGTGAGCCTAGAAATAAAGTGTATGCCCAGTAGAGGCTGCCTGTGTAATCCACTCCCAGTAAAAACCTCTGGCACAAAGTTGTTGGGCAGCTTCCCTGGTAGAGAACATTTCACAAGTATTATCAAACTCATTGTGGGGATTAAGTATGTCCTGTGCAACTTCCCTAGGAGAGGACCCTTGGAATCTTGAGTCTGGTTTCCTCCATATGCCTGTTCCCTTTGCTGATTGTGCTTTGCTTGCTTCTGCTGTAATGAATCATAGTTTGTGTAAGACTAGTTATTGAGTCCTGTGAATTCTCCCACTGAATCATCAAACTTGGGTGTGTGATCTTGGAGCCCTTTAACACAAGAACCCATCTTTTTCCCTTCTTCAATTGAAATATATTGAAAGGCATAATACAAGAAAATCGCATATTATATCAAAAGGGCATTTTAATGAGTAACATAAAAATAGCTCAAGAGGAACTAGTGATTAAAGTACTTTGGAAATATGAAGTGCTACATAAATACTAAGTTACAATAATAAGACAAATTATAATTTTCCATTAATTTCAAAGGGCATTTCCACAGAAAACAAATTTAATTATGTATGTCCAGCAAGAACTGTTGTAAACCATTTAAATAGACCTAGGATATTTTTAGCGAGGATAAGTACAAAAATCCATTAACCAAAGGGAAAAATGTTTGGGGACTATTGAATGAAATTTCAAGCCTAATAACTTTGAAATCAGTTTATTAGAGCTATAAGGAAATATTTCATGTATAATGGTCTCTGGGTATTGCTTAATAGTGATAATAATTAACTTCTCAAATTCAATAAAATGTAGGAAATTTAGCTATATTCAGCACTTGACAAATAAATCATGGTAATTACATGTTCACATGGCCAATACGTCATCTAACTCAGTCTTGTAAGCAGAAACTCTTTCAGGTAATTAGTCTTTTTTTTTAAGCCACTTGTATAAAATGACTCCCACTTGTCAGGAGATTTGAGGCTCTGTGATATAGAAACAAGAGTTTCCTACATCTTCAGGTCAGTGTCAGTATCCTTTCAGGTAAAATGTTAGTATAATGTGTATTTCTAGGATATTATAACACATCCAGATATAATCTCTGGGGGGTTGAAGGTGTTGGGTGGCACAGTACTGGAATTTTTCAATTTCAGGGCTGCCTTGAGTTCCACTGTGCTACGTGGGGAACAAGGTAATATATCAAAATCCCAGAAAAGCCACAGAAAATGCATTATCAAAGCCTGATACTAAGAAATGACTAAAGCCATACACTAAGCACATTTTATGTACCTTTTATATCACAAAGAAGGCTGGCATTCAATTACTTGACACATGATCTAAAGCAGAGATTTTCAGTGTTAGTTTTAGATCATCATCCCATGGAATCCTGTTAAGAATGCAAATTATTCAGCAGCAACAACAAAAACAACCTGTTTTGAAAATGGGCAAAGGACTTGAATAGTTTTATATATATATATATATATATATATTATATATATACATATACATACATATATATGCAAATGAAAAGACATTTATCATCACTACCTATAGCACCGGGGCCCTATCTTACACTTTTTGATTGTAGTGTGACTGACCTGAAGCTTTGGATTGTGCAGGCAGCCATTTTATTTTTTAAATTTATTTATATATATTTTACATCATTGTTCATTTTAAACAATGTTTGCATCCCCCCCCCCCCCACTCAGGTGTAGTCCGCATAGAATATCCTCCACCAATGCACCATCACCTCAGGGTCTTGTGCTCCTCCCTTCCTCCCAGTGATCCCTCTCCCTTCTGTCCCCTGCAAGATGTCTCTGGTTTATAATTATCTGTTTGTTTTGTTTGTTTTATTATTTTTTTCCACTGATGACTTATTTGTCTTTCCTATATTCCTCCTATAAGTGAAACCATCCAATATTTTTCTTTTCCTTCTGATTTATTTCACTGAGCATAATTCCTTCCAGCTCCATCCATGTTGCTGCGAATGGCATTAGTTTATCTTTTTTGATCACTAAATAGTATTCCATTGTGTTTATGTACCACATCTTCTTGTTCCAGTCATCTATTCTGGGGCATTTGGGTTGTTTGTATCCATTTTAAAAGACATTCCTCTCATATAAGCCTCTTCTCAACTGTATGACACAGCGACCAGCAACAAGCAGATAAGGTACTGGCAGCCTTCACCATGAACATCCCCAAATAGAAAGCCCTGGGTAACCTAGACAACTGACAACTTGAATGACCTTCCTATTCCCTAATTGCCCTCTTATGCTTTAAGAAAGAGTGAAGATTCACTGGGGGCTGGGAGGCCTGCCAGTCTGCCTACCATGTAGCTGGTAAAATCACAATAAAAGCCTGAAAAAGCCACCAAGGGCTCTAGGGCCCTCCTTTACCCATCTGCTCGGGTCATAGAGATCCTGCTCCATCTCTTCCTGTCACTACACAGTCAAAAGATAAAAATGAACCAAATGTCCATCAACAGATGGAAAAAAAAAAAGTGGTGTCTACCTACAACAAAATATTACCTTTATGAAGTCAAATTTGGATACCTGTTTCAATGTGGATGTGTCTTGTACACATTGTGCTAAATGAAATTAGACATGACAGGACAAATATTGTATAATTTAACTTATTAACCAGAATAGGCAAATTCATGGAGACAGAAAATATGAGAAGTTGCCAGAGGTGGAGATGTGAGGAATGGGAAGACATTAATAGGTATAGATTTTTTGGGGGATGGTAAAATATGTTTGGAAAACAATAGTGGTAATGGTTGTATACATTGTAAATGTACTTCATGCTACCTAATTGCATACATAAAATGATTAAAATGCCACATTTTATGTTACACGTATTTTATCACAATATAAAATCAAGTATTTTAAAAAAATGCAAAAGAAAAAAAATATGGGCCCTACCCCCACATCTACTGAATCAGAAACTCTTCAAATGGGGTCCAGGTGATTCTGATACATTCTAGAGTTTAAGAACCACTTATTCAAAGAGATCTGTAGTATCATAATTAGAATAATATGGGGGCAGAATAATATCTACATTAAGAAATAAAGACTGCATTTGTACCCTTTTTGCAAATTGTTAGTATTATTCAAATACAAAGATCCAGCCAATGCTGCATATGTATGTATATGGGGGGGGGGGGAGTGTAAAAGAAACTTCCTATTTGAAATCCCGTGTAATTTCAAATAACCGAGGAACACCATTGTGGAAAATGGTGGCTTCTTAAAGTGGCTTGGCTTCTTTAAACTAAGGGTCAAAATGTGGGCAATTCAAACTTCTTTCCATGGGCAAGACTTGCAGCATAAAGATATCAGTTCTTTATGAGTTATTGTAGGGTAAATGGAAGTGATCAGGTTTTTTCTGCCCTGCCACCATTAGCATCAATGACCAACACCTATGGTCTTACACGTGTGCCTGATGGCAGCACCTTGTGCATGGCGTGGGCGCGTACAATTGTGAACACCTGAGCCCAGAGACTGAGCATTTAAGGGCAGCAGCAGAGGACAGGAGGCGGTAGAGGACCATATGGTAGAGTGCAATAGAGAGTGGTGGAGAGTGTCAGAGAACAGTGTAGGGTCAGGAATGACATGGTGCAGGTTTTCTAGGATCCAGCAGACCAGGTAAAGGAGGAGTCAGAGTCCTCAGTAGCTTTTGCAGGTTTTTTATTTAGATTACCAAGTACAAGGCAGGCAGGGGCCAAGTCTTCACTCTGGGCTCTCCGACCTTCTCTCACATTCTCTCTGCTCTTCTCATGGCTCTTTTTCTCTCTCGGCTTCTTCTTTCGGCTTCTCCTTGTCTTCTCCGTGACACCACCCTTAAAAGCCCAGTCTTAGCCCAGGTGAATCCCATCTACCTATGCCCACACCCTACTCCAGGTGCCCGCCATCAGGCATGCATTCAGGACCGCAAGGATCCATCATCTATCCTGATGGCAGGAGGGCAGAAAAGCCTGACATTTTTCCTTACCCTACAAACGGTTAAGAGAAGAAACCTTATAGGGATTCTCAGGGGGGCCCAAGTTGCTGTCTCCCTGCTGGCTTGTTTCCCCTAATCTGTAGGGATAATGCAAGGGTTCCAAGTTTCTCTTTCAAGCTGCCTGAACTGATGATGAACCTACCCAGCCTGTCATGGCTGCAGAACAGTGGTCTTAAGAAATCCAATTAAACTCATATATTTTAGCAATTAGCATCTACTAAGGTCTTTCAGATAGAGGAAATTTAATGCAGGAAATCTGTAAGGCAGGACTGGACACAGTGCCGGTTTTCTAGGATCCCATGCAGACCGGGTAAAGGAGGAGTCAAAGTCCTCAGTGGTTTTTGCAGGTCTTTTATTGGGATTTACCCGGTACACGGCAGGCAGGACTGCTGGGGGGCCGGGAGGCTGGCAGGCCTCTCAGACCCCAGCAAATCTGCACTCTATCTGGGCTCTCCGGCATTCTCGGCTTCTCTCTCGGCTTCTGCTGCTTCTTTCTCAGCTTCTCTTTTGGCTACTGTTCTTCTCGGCTTCTGCTGGCGTCTCCGTAACACCGCCCTCAAAAGCCCCATCTTAGCCCAGGTGAATCCCATCTACATAGGCCCACACCCTACTCCAGGTGTCCGCCATCAGGCACGCATTCAGGACCGCAAGGATCCATCATCTATCCTGATGGCAGGAGGGCAGAAAAGCCTGACATTTTTCCTTACCCTACAAAATCAAATACAAAGATTGTTGGAGATCAAAGAAAAGCAGCAAAGCATTGTAAAAGACTCAGAGAGTAGGAACACTAGGAAGTCATTTACCTCACCTGGGCCTGGAGATGCAACAAGCAGAGGTGATAGCTTATCAATAACACCCAGAAGCCTGGGATGTGTGGGGACAAGTACCTGAGGCTCTGGCTCTTATAAGGGGGTTGCAATTGTATGGGGAATATAAAAATAAAATTAAAAAAAAAGGACTGTCAGGTAGCAGACAAAACTTTGGAAGCCACTGCCCAGAGATACCTCAGGAAGCCTAGAGAAGTGGATAATTGTCTTGGTTTCTCCCTTCCTCCTGCCCCACAACTGGAAGTAGCTCCCATTGACTGAGCCCACCAGAGGGCACAGCAGAAAGGGAGTCTGGGGACTGTAGGATAAGTGATTATCAGGGTTTTCTGCCCTTCTGCCATTAGCATTGACAATGGATCCCTGCGGTCCTGAATGCATGCCTGATGGGGTGTGGGCATATGTAGGTGGGTACACCTGGGCTGAGGCTGGCTTATAAGGGTGGCATCATGAGGACAGAGCAGAGCAGAGTAGCAGTGGTGGAAGAAACAAGCAGAGAGAATGAGAAAAGAACGAGAACACCAGAGAGCCCAGAAAGAGTGAAGATTTCCTGGGGCTGGGAGGCCTGTCAGTCTCCTTGTCTCTGCCCTGGCACCCTGGCCTGCTGTGTACCTGGTAAACTCAATAAAAGCCAGAAAAAGCCACCGAGGGCTCTAGGACTCCCCCTTCACCTTTCTGCGTAGGATCATAGAGAACCTGCCCTGTGCCATCCTGCCACTACAGAACTGTCCCATGAAATACCATGCAGAACAAGAGAAGGGGCTGACCTGAGATCAAACTGGCAGTAGATGGACAAATATGCCATGAATGAGGAAGATGCTCCTCTTTCTACTGGGAAGAATACCACACCAGGAGCCAAAACATTCAAATTGGAGGCCAACTCTATCCATGATTTGTAGCAATGTCAGTAAGTCAGTTCAGTCTGGTATCTTGATGTCTGAACTTAAGATATAGACCATGATGAAAGCTAAATCTATTTTTTCAGATACAAAGTTAGGACTTTGAGTATTATTAAGTCTGAAAGTACTTCCAGTTCTAATATTCTGTGTCTTTGTAGTGAGTACTGTCATTTCTATCTGGAAAAAAGCCACCAAGATTAGAAAATGAAAATCCTCATGGGATTTACCTTTTGTCCCTTTAATGACTGCTTTTGAAATATCAGTACAAAAATATTTTAAGAATGAGGCCTCCTTGGTGGTGTAGGGGGTTAAGTCTCAGCACTGTCACTGCTGCAGCCTAAGTTTGATCCCCAGCCAGGGAGCTACCCACATGGTGCAGGAGACCTCTCCTGTCTCGCCTACTGTTCCCCTTAGCAGTGTATTTCAGTAGATCTGCCTGTTTTGCTCCCTACTCTGTCTCTGGTGAATCCTCTCACCCCCCATACCTCTGGCCTACATCCCAGTTCTTCTACGCAAAATAAATAAATATTTTAAAAAAAATTTTTAAGAAGGAAGATCTCTGCCATAGTCTCTATAATCATTTAGATCTTCCCACTTTATTTTCCAAATTGAATAATTATACACAGGTAGGTCCATCAATACATGACAATTCCTAAC